TCTTTTTAAAAAATTTTTTTATTGAAACATTGTTGTACATATTTATTGGGTACAGAGTTATGTTTAAATACATATATACAATGTGTGATGATCTAATCAGGGCAAGTAGCATATTCATCATTGCAAAACTTAATCATTTCCTTGTGATAAGAATTCTTGATCTCCTCTCTTTTAGTCATTTGATAACATGCAGCAAATCATTGTTAATTATAGATTCCTGGATCGACTGTACACCAATAGGACTTATTTGTCCTAGCTAGCTGTAGTTTTGTGTCCATTTACCAGCTTCTTTCTATCTCTCTCCCTCCTCCCCTTTTCCGCTTCCAGTAACCACAGTTCAGATCTTCCAGGATAATAGAATTAAGAGGATCATTTGATCCAACTCCTTCATTCTGCAGATGAGAAAACTTGAAAGCCAAATTGTTTAAAGTTACATGCCTAGTTATTTGCAGAGTTGGACATAGAATCCATTTGGCTGATACCAGATTTAGTCCTCTTTCCCCACTCAAGAGCTCTCCTGTCCCTCACTAAGTGTGGCCTCTAATGTGCTGTGGTCAGAGAAGCAACAGATCTCAGTTGTCACCCAGCCCTTGCCACTCACTAGTGGGGTTACCTCAGCACACTCCCTTTAAGCCTTGATTTCCTCCCATATAGCATGGTGATAGCACTCGTGTCATTAGGGCCCTTTGGGGGATTAAGTGATGTAATGCATGCAAGTTTTTTTTTTTCTTCAGAGAGCCTGACATCGTAAGCCTTTAATAAATGATTGTCTGCTTATATAATGTAACTCCTTTAAAAATGATTCTATTAATTAATATTCATTGTTTAAAAAATTATAACTCGCAGATTAGCAGAAAAAAGAAAATGAAAAGCACCCATAACATCATCTGGAGATATTCTCAGATTTTTCTTATGTATTTTTCCCATTTAGTTTTGGTTGCACTAACCATCTGAAAAAATACAGCGTGAAATCCTATTATGTCAGTGAGTCAGTGATCCATTAGAACAAGACACTTCACATTAATCATGAAAGAGGCCATAACAGACTGATCATTATTTTTCCAAAAGAACAGAGTATTGCTATGAAGAGTTATGCTATAGTATACCTAACCACATGCATATATGCATTGAATCTACTATTAGTTTTTGCAATAATCCTATTACATCTTCTTCCCCCCTTTAAAACCCAATTTGAGCTATATATATATCTACTAGCCATTTCTTTTTCCTTAAATATAATGAATTGTCCATCCTACAGACCTCGATAATAAGTCTGACCTAGTTAGAAATTTAGGGACTCAAAGAATGCTTTGATTCACAATCTCATGATTAAGCTGCAAACGCTTTTTAGTTCAAAGAAGTTTAAATCACTGGAAGGAAGAATGTCAAAAACCAGTATCATTTTATGTCTCCTCATTCAAGAAAAAGTGATTTGTAGGGCCCTCTCCGTGGAATATATGTTCATATTCTGAACTTCTAGCCTGGCTCGTCTTTGTTCTTGCTGCCTCTTTATTTTGTGGCTTGAGGCTAGTGCACTGAAAAGATTGGTTCATGTTGAAGGAGTTTTGCCTTGAAATGGAAGGTTATTAGAGTAATGGTTCTGCTTCTCTATCGATTGTTGTGTGCATGTTGCCATGAACTCAAACGGTTTTCAATTCTCCATCTTACTGTGGTGAGTTATTGGCTACTTTTCTGGATGTCCAATCCTTCCCTGGCAGAGGGCTTGATGCCAGGCCAGAAGAATTGGGCGGAGATGGGGGTAGGCAGTGAGAGGGTCCAATGGGTCTCTGCACCAAGGGCAAATACAAAATCCCATCCCAGAGAGAGAGCACCAAGTGCCCCAGTTGGAAAAGTGTGGCCAAGGCAGTGGGTGAAGGAAGGCAGCCACAGGCAGGTGAGGACACTAGGGTTCTAAGAGCCAGGAGGAAAAGAGATGTTCGGGACAACTTGAAATAGTACCACTTCCAGATTAGGAATATGATGGCACTTCTGGGGTCTAGCTTTATTGGTAGGATGCTGCACTGGTAGGGTAAGCTTGTAAAAGGACCCTGGACAGATTAGACAGAAAACAGAGTTAGGAATTAGGAGGCTGAGGTATCAGCCTTGAACACGATTTTCCCTGAATGTTATTACCGGTGCTATTATTTAGGAAAATGTTGCTCATCTGAGGGCTGTTTTAGTACTTGGAATTATTGCCAGTGTTGGCTTACTTCCAACCCTGTTAATCCTCTGAGGTTTCAGAAAGAAAGAAATGCTTTCTTTTCTTTTTCCCCTTTCTCCACGGGGTAATTGGCTTAAGTATAATTTAATTATTTTGTTAACCAGTTATCCTGTCATTGTGTACAAAAACAACCTTAAAAACCCACCCTTCATTCTCTGTTACGATGTTTCTAATTGATTTTTCCACCATGAGTGCATTTGTAATGGTAAAATTTCTCACTAAAAGCTAAATTGGACTGACTACTTTCCATACTTGCAGGGATGTCCTTGGAGCTTTGCAAAGTAGTATCCAGTGACTGAGTAAGAAAAACTAAGATAAATGGTTAGTTTCAAAGAGTAATAACAGTCTTGAGGATTCTGTAGGGAAGTCATATTTTAGAAGATCACCTTGGACTGTATTTTCGTCAGTGAATCTTGGAAGATTCTTCTTGGTGTGGAGGATTGCGGAGGGAATGTACTCTCCTTTTTCAATGTCCGGTCTCACTAATTTAGTTGATATTCTTAAGACTTGTTCCATCTTTCCTCATCATACTATTTATGGGGGAATTTTTTATCCTGCTGGATTGCTGTGTAAATTTGGTTATTTATTCAGTGGGAGATTTATTTCAAATCTGTACCCTGCTTGCTCATCCTCTTTTTTATTTTATTTTTTTGATGGAGTCGAAGGTCTCACAAATCAAGTCTGCAATTCATATGAAGGCTTCATCTTATAAATATACTTTATAGGGATGTTTTATTGAGTCCATTTACAAAAATTTAATTGGAGCCAAATAATTCAATCTGGCCTAAGAATATGAGGTACAGATGTGTGTAATGCTGCTGGGGTCAGCTGAGGCTTCATCTATTTTCGAACTGCTTTTCTGCAGTTTTCCCTCATTTTTCTCATTTGTGGAGCTCCAGATATTGCTTTTCATGGTCACATTGCTATAAGATCCTCGTAATTAGACCGTGGGCCTCCAAGGCAAGTTAGTATTTGCTTTTTTTTATGAGTAAAAACCATTTCAACTTTCCTTATGGGGAGTCCTTATGAATCTCTAAAGTCATTCACAAATATGGTGAAGTCTAATTTTACTCCACAAGGAGAAAAGAGAATATTGCACTTTTCCTATCCAGGGATTCCGCCCTCCCCAAGCTTTGCTGCACTCTGCTTATTGCTTTCAGCTCATTTGTAGTAGCAGATGGCTTTATGCAAATCAGGCCAATTATTTTTGGTCATAGTAAAAATCACCTTGCATTATGAATAATTTCTGAATTGGTGTAACTAACGTGTGTCTTTGAAAACTCATCCAGACCTACAGGGCAGACCATCTTGTCTGACTCTGCTCTGCTGACCCAGGAGGCTGTGGTCCCACACACATCCTGCTGTCTCAGTGACCCCTCCAAGCATCTCTTCTACCCTCCTGCTCTGTTAAATTTTATAGGTCCACATGACTGTAGGAAAATTATTTCAATCCCTGTTTATTAGTCATCTCTAATCTCATAGGCGATAATGCATGCTATCTTGAAATTTTATAGCTAGTTTTGAAAGAAGCCAGACATCAATATTACTTGATGCATTTCTCATTCTTCCTTTACTAGAAATTACTATTTACCCAATTTTTTTTTTTCTAACCCTGCAGAAAAACAGACATAGTTTGTCCAGTTTTCTTTGGTAAAATTGTATTACTTGATGCATTTCTCATTCTTCCTTTACTAGAAATTACTATTTACCCAATTTTTTTTTTCTAACCCTGCAGAAAAACAGACATAGTTTGTCCAGTTTTCTTTGGTAAAATTTGTTGAAGTAACTCCTATAAAATCTGGCACTTTTTTCCTTTCTTTTTCTTCCTCCCTCAACTCTCTAAGTCCTTGATTATTGACAGAATGATCCATCTTCTGGAATGGTTCTCACAAGACCACCGAGGATTTGTTCTTTTGTTTTTCCTTTCATCTCTTTCTTCAATAGGTCTTACCACCTTATTTCTTGAGATCGTATGAAATGAATAGTCAGAAAACAAGGGAAGCCTTGACCTTATTAGCCTTAAATTATCAGTTGCATTCCTAATCTGAGATAAATGATTGACTTCTGTGGCTCAAATAACATCCTACTTCCTTTCCAGATATGACATGGCAGGTAACGAGTCATTCCTGTCCATTTGCTAAATAGTCACAGAGGCACCTTTACATTTTCATTTCCCTGTGGTAATGTTCAAGTCTTTTAACTTCCTGCCGCAAGACTCCCTGTCCTTCTGGTACAGAAGTGTGAAGACTAAATGATTAAGGAATCAGTAGCTGTAAAGTACTTCAAAGGACAGATGTAAAGTGTGATCACATGCGCCTTCTCTGATCAGCAGTGGTTATTGCTGATTATCAGAGAAAGAGCATGTGATCACACTTTACATCTGATAACCATTGCTGATTGTTTCATCTGAGAGGGCACCTGTATCTGGATTGCTAGCTAAAAGCATGGGAGTTTGGCTAATAATAGCTCACATTAATATAGTGATCATTGTGTGCCAGGAACTGTTCTCAGTGCTTTGTACATACAGTAACTCAATTATAGATGAACCAGCATACTGAGTGTCACTGATTTATGTTTTTCAGGTTGAAAATTGGTGTCCTCATTTACCTTGGAGAGCAAAAAATCCCTACGACGAAACTGATCATAATTCATTAGTAAGTGATTTTGGAAAACTCTTTCTAGACTTGAGCGTTTAGGTCAGATGCCAAGTGATACATGCGGAATCTTCTAGAAATTCTGGCTATAATCTGAAATAGTGTTAAACTGAAAAACTCACGGCACCAGTCTTGTGGAAGTCTAAGTGACCAAATCAGTCAACCACTTATATATTTTTTTGTCAAGCAATTCTCTGAGGGTTCCTAAATGCTGGGCTACTGCTATGAATTAGACCTGGTATCAGACATGAAGGCCCTTGGTGATCTAATGAGGGTGATGGTTGTAAATAATGACCATGCCTGTCACAAACGCTGTAATACAGGACTATGGAAATAATGAGGAAGAGATGATCTCAGCCTGCAGGGGTCAGGGTAGATCGCATAGAGAAGCTGACACTGGAGCTGAATTTAAAATGATGGGCAAGTTTGTACAAGGTCAAGGAGAAAAGGGGGTCTCTGATATGGAAAAGTGAGAGCTTGGCAATCACAGGGAGTAGAGCATGGTTCAGTGAGGCAAAGCCATAGGGTTTCGATGAGATTGGAAAGGTAGGAAGGGGACTGTGAAAGGCTTTGTATGCCATGTTAAAAGCTTAAATCTTTATTCTTTAGACCAGGGATCAGCAAACCTGTTCTGTAGAAAGCCAAGTAGTAAATATTTTCATCTTTTCAGGCCATAAGAACTATGTTTGACAACTGCTGCCATTGTAGCACAGAGAGCAGCCATAGACAGTATGTAAATGACCAATAAAACTTGATACACAAAAACAGGAGATAATGAGGAGGATTTGGCTCAAGGGCTGCTGTTGGCTGACCCATGCCATAAACCTGGGCATCTTGGGATGTTGTTGAATCAGGGAGGGAGATGAGTGTTCAGAATGAGCTATGGTGACTGCTAAAAGATAGATTCAACATGTTTGAGATGTTCTATGCAATATAGGTATTATGTTTTTCCGTTATTTCATTCACTGGTTGTATCCAACTATATTGTCCAGAATATTGGGGAAAATATTCGTCTTGGCTTTTAAGTTATTCTGGTCTGAATTTTGAATTATATTCAGTTATAGCAGAAAAATAGTATTTCTGGCTTTTAAATTTCTTAGTAAATACTGAATTGGGCATTGTTTTTTTTGGACTGGTACAAAACTAAAGGATGAGCATTTATTTTCCTATTTAACTCTGGACAGAAAGAGGCTTTTTGACAGTCCACCTGATGTCAGGTAGCCTGCTAAGAATTGGCTTCAGTTTTCCCAGGAGTCTGCTGCCCTGCACTAGATCCAAGTGGCATGAAACACTTGGGTGCTGAGATTTCAAGGTACATCAAGCACACTCACTGTAAAAACTGCAATTTAGCATAGCTCAGGGCTTTGCAATGACTGTGCTGCCTTTCTCAATTTCTGATTTTTTAATGATTTCCCTTACAGCAGATAAGTAGTCAGGGACCTTTCCTTCAATTTGCAATCCCAAGACCTTTAAGGAAGAGCTGTGTAGCAGACAAGACTTACTTTGAAGCCCTGGATTTAATTGACTATTTCTTTCAAGTTTTCAACTGTCACCTCATGAAAACCATTATGCTTTCTGACTTTTTATCTGATATTCATTTTATTAAATTCAGCAGACAAGACTTACTTTCAAGCCCTGGATTTAATTGACTATTTCTTTCAAGTTTTCAAATGTCACCTCATGAAAACCATTATGCTTTCTGACTTTTTATCTGATATTCATTTTATTAAATTTCTGTTACTAGGCAGAAATTCGTACGGATTTTAATATTCTCTACAGTATGATGAAAAAGCATGAAGAGTTCCGGTGGATGCGACTACGGATCCGGCGAATGGCTGATGCATGGATCCAAGCAATCAAGTCCCTGGCAGAAAAGCAGAATCTTGAAAAGAGAAAGCGGAAGAAAGTGAGTTTCGTATTAATTTTGTTCAGTTAGATGCCAGTTTTCTTTTAAAATTTGATTTTGCTTGGAAACAAGACTAAGAAAAATGTCATGTCTCAAATGATACTCCCTCAGGATGAATCTGCTCAGTCTCTTGTATAGCCATTTTTGGGTTTTCCTATCGCCAATTAAAATACTCTTACTTAGTAGGAACCAGAACAAGTTTCTTGTATGAAGCCAAGCCAATTATCTGCCTACAAGACTTTCCTTTGAACCACCTGACTGCTTCTCTCTCAGGGTATCAGGAAATTTTCCCTCACTTCTTTACCTGAATTCAATTTTTGAGAATTTGCTGTTACGTCATCATGACAACTTCACTTTTTTTTTTTTTTTTGTCAAGTCTAGGGTTTGGGCAGCCATTGAGTTCCATTGCTGTTCTGTCTGGTTAGTGTTTCTGCTTATGGTCCTAGGAGAGAGATACTTTACTAAACTTGAGCCAGTTTGTTTCGAGTTTATGAGGAGATGCCTGGAAAACCTCTAGAATCCCATGGGCTTAGAAGAACTTATACCCTAAGAGTTACAGATTAGGTGGCATGGCTTTAGATTAAACTGTTCTGATTTCAAAACTGAGCAAAGTGAATAATTTGCTCTTAACATCTAAGAAAAGAACTTAAAAATGAGTTTGGTATTTCTAATTGACTAATTTGATATCTTTGAAAAAGAAAATACAGATACACTTGTAAGACCCCAGAACTACACAGATTGATGGGTCAGCTTTGCTTAGATCTTTTGAGTTTATGAGACAGCAAGCCCAAACATATGGCACCAAATACTTGTATATGGAAGAGCATGTGTTCAGATGCTGCAGGTGGGCTGTAAAAGAAATAAAGAGTATTTCTATATAATCCTATGGAGTAATCTCCTGGATATATCGTTAGGTGAAAAAAATGTTAGGTGGAAGATAGTGTATATTATTTTTAAAAGGGAGAGGAATTTATATCTATAGGTATACATATAGATATATACATACACATATAATATGCATATGTTTCTTGCATGGTTTTTAAAATGGAAAGATAAACCATAAAATTAAAGGAGTGGATGGTAGGGATGGCTGCACAACAATGTGAATAGAATACACTTAATGCTACTGAACTATACACATTAAAATGGTTAATTTTATGTTATGTGTATTTTACCACAATAAGGAAAAAAAATCAAATAAGGGGAGGAGGGAATAGCATAGAAGTAACAAGTATAGAAATTGGATTTCTCTGAATGTATCTTACTTTGTAGATTTGACACTGGAACCATTTTATGGAAGTATAAAACAAAGTTCAGTTCCAAAAAAAAAATCTAAAAGTCACAAGGAAAATAAAACAGATGAACTGACTACATATCCATCAGTTTGGATGTAAGCACTCAGAAAAGAACTATTTTTGGTAATTTTAGGACACCATAAATTGAACATTTCAGAAGGGATGTTATGAAGGACAAAAATAACTGCAAAAATATGTTAATACGATTTTTACTAATTATGCAGTGTGCAGGGATATTGATATATTCTTATTCTGAATTCATTGAGAATATTGGTATAAAGCAAATGAGTAGTTACGTTAGTATTTCTGAGAAGTGGGATTGTGAGTGTGGGACAGAGGAAATAAGTTGTAAGGTGGATGATGGTCTGTAAGAATACTGTAATCCTGAGTTTGAATTGGAAGTCCCAGTATAAAACTCATGATTTAACTTTGAGGAAAAAATACATTTCCTCACTAGAGCCACTGAAAAAGGCCCTCTATGATAAACTAAAGTACCCTAAGTCCCAGACTCTGATCTCTAATGCAATTTACACTAGGTGGTATAAGCGGTACTTGGAAAAATAGCTTATTAAGGTCTGAGACAGGGCTGGCCTGTAAGCTCAGTTGGTTGGAGTGCAGCCTTGTAACACCAAGGTTATGTTTCGGTTCCCCATACCAGCCAGCTGCCAAAAAAAAAGAAAAAATATGAGACAAAACTTGTACATGATGAGCTTAGACCATCTTGTCATCATTCCCAAGAGCAGAGAAGCTATCAGACTACTAGGATTGTGTCAAAAGAACTTAGGGGCCAACTTGGATAGCCTCACACTGGTCAAGGTGGAATAATTTGATAATCATTAAGGACAACTGCAATTCATTGAAACACAGAAAATGTATTTATATACATGATTTTATAATATTTTTTAAAAAGACAAAAGAACCTCGTAGGTCTTGAGTATGCTAAAGAACAATTTGTTAGTGTGAAAACTGGTAAATAAAGGGAAAGAATCATGTATTTACCAGGCTCATTCTTTGTAAACCTCAGGGTCACCTCAGGGTAACCAAATAGTTGATGAAGGATAGTTTCTCTTTATAGAAGTGTTCCAGCTAATATATGCAGAAGGAATGACAGAATATCACCATTTTGCAACCCCGAATGAATTAATGGATGTAGTTAGTGATTATCAATGGCCACTCACATCCCCAAACACAGACACCTACACATCATTCCCACTGGTGGGAGTACACAGCACCACCTATGAAGTACTTTTGCCAAAAAAATCAAATCTGACTTTGATTGTGTCTGTAGATCTAATTATTAATTTAGATCTAATTACTGATTACAACAACTTGGGATTGCAATCAGCAAAATCCAGAGTATGGGAAACTCTTCTGGAAATAAAACCCAGTTTCTTTGATAAATAAATTATATCCGCTAACCAGTCCCCCTAAAAAAAAATGGAGGGACTGTATAGGTTAAAGGAGGCAAAGAGACTTACGAGGCAATTATAATGTACACATTTTGACTTCTGAATCATACAACAAAACTTAAAAAAAAAAATAAGGAATAGTTGAAATATAAACACAAGTGGTATCAGATGATATTAAGGAATTATTAACTTTTGGGGGGTTATAATGATATGGTTATATTTTTTAAGTGAAGGTTTGTTTCTTTTAGAAATACATACTGAACTATTTACAAAAGAAAGGCTGTGATACCTAGAATTTGCCTCAAAGTAATCTAGAGGGGTTGAGAGAAAATAGGGGTGTGTATAGGTGAAACAAGAGTTGATCATTGTTGAAACTACGTGATCAGTACATGGGATTGACAATATTGTTATGTCTGCTTTTCTACGTGTTTGAAATTTTCCACATAAAAGGTTAAATATTCAGTTGTAGAAAAAAGCCCAATATTGTTAAAAGATATTTTATTGTTCTGGCTTACTTTTCTTTAATTCTGATTTTACAGATACATCCAACTTTCTGATAGCAGGATTATCTGTCTATACCTTATCCTGATAGCCATACAGAGGGAGCAGTGATCTTATTTATCTAAAACCAAAAAAAAAAAAAATTTCCATCCTTTCTTTGTACCTTCTAGAAAAATAGCATACCCCACATTGAGATTTTGTTGGGACATAAACGTGACTTTGGAATTGATCACTTTCTGGTGGTCTGCTATGGAGTTTGTGGTTCGTTCAGTGCAAATCAGCATATGCCTCTTCTTTGTTTTCTAGGTCCTTGTTCACCTGGGACTCCTGACCAAGGAATCTGGATTTAAGATTGCAGAGACAGCCTTCAGTGGTGGCCCTCTTGGTGAATTAGTTCAGTGGAGTGATTTAATTACATCTCTGTACTTACTGGGCCATGACATTAGGATTTCAGCTTCACTGGCTGAGCTCAAGGAGTAAGGAGATTACTTTTCAATTTTAAAATCAAAATACAAAAAAGAAATTGTAAACTCTTAAAGCCCTGTATTAGTGTGTAATTTCTTGTGGAGGAAAATGAAAGTGATAATTCACTAAACAGGAGATAAGAAGATTATTTTCAGGAGCTAAATACATACACTGTGAAAAGGATAATATGTTTTCATTGTAGCTGCAGGCTCTAGAGGCTTCATAAATGAATGCCAGAAAATTCAAACTAAGGAGCTTATTCTTTGCTATTACAGGTGCTTCCAACATCTGCAGCACAAAACATTATTGACTTTCCTAATTCCCTGTCTCTTGCTGAAATTCATACTATTCCCTGCTCAACATGGAGCTTTCTAAATCTTAAAACAGGGCAGGTTCCTGTTTATAATTTAATTTGGATAGGATGAATTTCCTGAAAGCCCTGATCCAATCCATTTTCAATCAGCCAACTTTCAACTGGGAGTCTGTTAACTCTACCTGGGTTTTCTATTTCACTGAAATTTGCTTCTAGCTCTAGCCCTCTCTTAATCCCTTTTAGATTGACACAGCTGGGATACTTAGATACCCTTCACTTCTTTGGATAACTGCCCATGGAGACGTTCTACCCAGTGGCCAAGTTATATTGCAATATGTTAGGTGTTTCTGGAAGAAATACTTTGAATGGATATTCTAGAGATGGGAGGAGTGTTCAAACAATCTTTTCCTACTTTATTGTCCAAGACATTGATACCCAGAGGGGTTCCACCCTGCTCCTACTTGATTGTCAAAGACATTGACGCCCAAGGAGTCACTTGTGTTAGGTCCAACGTCCACACCTGGTTGATTGCAATGTGTTGAGATGGAAACAATATCTTTAAGATTATATAAGCTATCATTTCTTAATGATTTTCATATGCCAGGTGCTGTAATAAAAGCCCAGTTGCAACAATAATATCAACAATTATGACAACCATGATATTGATGATGAGTGTCAACAGCTAACCTTTCTTAACTGCTTACTGTGCATCAGATACTAAGCACTTTACATGTTTTATCTTATTTAGTCCTTAGCACCCTGAAGTAGGTGCTATTGCTCTCTGCATTTTAAAGATGAGGAGCGTAAAGATGAGGAGGTTCAAACCAAAAATGAGTTATTCGAGGATTCATGGATTATATGTAGGAGACCCAGGATTTGAACCTCTGTCTGTCGGATTTAAAAGCCAGTGCTCTTCACCGCAGTTCTACATTGCTCCTTTCAGAGCTAGATAAACCTGAGGTCTTCTGAACCCTTAATCACCACTGTCACCACTCTTGTTCCTTTAAAGGCTGCTTCCTGTTGCCTTCTTCCTGCTTGCTTTAAAACACGCTGGGTATACCATCTATAAAGCGGATGCATTTGAACACTTAGCAGTCACTCATTCAGTGCTTTCTGTGGGCTGGTTTTTGGTATGGGACATACAGAGATGATCACCTGCATGTGGCCAAGGAGCTGCCAATCTTTTGATAATTATGACTAATATATTACATAATGATTGCACTAATTACATTAGTGCTAATTGAGGTGTGAGATGCTAGAATGTAAGCACAGGGAGTGCAGAAAACTGAATATTGTTTGCCACTCTATTATATAACTGTTATTGAATGAATGAGTGAAGGAATGACTAAGTGATTGAATGGAATACTGTGGAAATACCATGGACAAGTACTGCCAGGCGAGGTGAGGAAAGGCATATTAGGGATTTATCAGGCAGAGACTTAACTTAATGGTCAGTGGAAAGCCTATAGTGGTCTGTATGCACACTGAGGTCAAGGCTAGATGTGTTTTATTTAGAAAACTGTGGAAGCAACATAGGGCAGTGGTCCCCAAATATGCCTGCGTGTTAGAACCACCTGGGGATGTTTTTGAAATTCTGAAGCACAGACCAATCCTAGGCTGATTAAATCAAAATCTTTAGGGGTACAGTGCAGCTGTAAGTATTTTGTGATGCCTCCAGGTAATTCCAGTGTACAAATTTGGGAACCACTGAACACAGGGTGGACTAGGAGTCAGCACACTGAGGCTGGAATTCAGCCCTCTGACTGTTTCATGGGAACACAGCCACACTTCATTGTTGTGCGTGTTGTCCATAGCTGCTTTCATTCTACAGTGGTGGAGTTGAGTAGCTGTGACAATGTATGGCCCACAAAGATGAAAATATTTATTATCTGGTCCTCTATAGAAAGTTTTCTGACTCTTGGGAAGAAAGTGGTTATAGGGAACCTAGCTTTTTGTAGAAATGCAGAGGAGAGGAAGAAGGGTGCCTGAAGCAGTGGCAATGTGGAGCTGTAGAGCAGACTTTTGTTTGTGACCCTTCTTCTTTCTTTTTTTTTTTTTTTTTGTCTTTTTCCGTGTCCAGCAACGGATCGCAACCCTCAGTGTTGCCCCCGTACCGGACTGGGGACCGGCAACGGGATCGCAACCCTCGGTGTTGCTCCCGCGCCTCGCTCAGCCAGCGAGCGGGAACCGGTCTGCATGTGGGATCCGAACCCTCGGGCGGGAGCGCTGCCGCGCTTCCCAAGCGGCGCACTATCCAATGCGCCACTGAGCCGGCCCTACCCTTCTTCTTTCAATCAGATGTTCATAATTAGGTGAAAGATGACTGTGGGGCATACATATGGATAAGAAAAAAATGATTACTGCTTTCTGAGTGCATGGCAGTACAGTTAGCAGTTGGCTGTCCCTACACTGAGCCGGCCCTACCCTTCTTCTTTCAATCAGATGTTCATAATTAGGTGAAAGATGACTGTGGGGCATACATATGGATAAGAAAAAATGATTACTGCTTTCTGAGTGCATGGCAGTACAGTTAGCAGTTGGCTGTCCCTACACAGGAAGTTGACATACTCATCAAGTACATTGTCACTCTCTAAGTCCAAGGGTGGTTTTATGTCTAGATGGGTAGAAGAAAAGGTAATGAAAAGTCTAGTTAGAAGGAAACATTTGACATAAGAGAAAAAATTAGGGAATAGTGCAAGACTGTATAGAGAGAAGTTGATACTGCAGTGGCTAGAAATTGAAGACATTTAGAGAAAGAGAGGTCAGTAAGGGTAATAAGTAATAAGAACAGGCTCTCGGGTGTGGGAAGGAACTATTAATCACTGAGTATCTAGTATACAGTAGGCACTTTTTCCAGTTGTTCACGTAACTGCCCAGAGAATCCTTTTAGAGGTTGGTATCATCACCTTCATATCCAGTCCTTTTTTTCTGGAGAATGAGGAACAAAGATTCAGAAAGGTTAAGTAGCTTGTCTTAAGGCTTCATAGCTGCTACCTAATAGAGAAGGATTCAGACACGAATCTTCCTTGATTTCAAAGGCTGAGTTTTTACACTACCATTTGCTTTTACAAGAATCAGGCATCTAGGTTGGCCCTGGAGGGTAGGAAGAATTTAGATAGGAGCAGAGTTTGAAGGGTTGCACTGTCATCTCTCATAAGGATTTTGGGGATGGTTATTTTCTTGTTAAAGTTGCCAAATTTAGTACCTCAGAGTAAATGGTTTCTTTTTTCCCCTCTCTTCTGCCCTTTCTCTAGAATAATGAAGAAGGTTGTGGGAAACCGATCTGGCTGCCCAACTGTAGGAGACAGAATTGTTGAGCTCATTTATATTGACATTGTAGGACTTGCTCAATTCAAGAAGACTCTGGGACCATCCTGGGTTCATTACCAGTAAGTGGTGCATGCCATTCTTAAGTTTTTACCGCTTTTTTTTTTTTTTTCCCCTAACAAGGGTTGTGTGGCTTGCAGGTAGAAAAAGCTTATCAAATATTATCTTTTAAACTGTATGGAGTGTGTTTCTCAGTCCTAATTGAAATTCACATTCTCCACAGTGACTTTCTACTTTCTAGGGCTATTCATTATTGTCATTGATTTCTTAAGAGTAGAAAACAAGTATCCAACCTCCTTTTTACCATCCCTTAATACTTAGCATTCCTCTCTCAGTGTGCCTACATCAGTCACATCTGTTTAATCAAATAGCAATTTTGATAAATGTGGACAGTGTCATTTCCTGTGGTCCTTAGGTTTGAAATGATGATTCATGTCTCTTACCTTTACCCTCATCAGTATTCTTGTCGTTCTTGGAAGGCAAGGCTGGGAATACCTTGTCTGAATGCTGGGGCCATGCACTTTTTAAGATAAGTCCATGCTTCATATGACTGCAGTGCATGTGTACTCGTGCACAGTCTTTGTTATTCAGCAGAATAGGTCAGTGTTTCCCTGGTGTGGTTTTGAGACCATGGTTTAGTATTTGAAACAGTTTTACATGGTATTCAAACATGGCACTAAATGCTCTGAATTATATAATGAGATTTATTAATTTTTTAGTTTTCTTTGAATCTTTCTCAGAAAAGGCTTAGTTTGATGCTACTATATCTCCAACACTTCCTTTAACATTTATGTGCATTTTTAACAAAGTGAGAGTAGCTGTCTGCAGACAAAAGCATCTATTTTGAATTTAATAGTACTTTAAGAAGGGTTATATGCTTTTTTTTTGTCTTCTTCCGTCTATTGCAGTTGATACTGGCTTTCATTTATGGTCTATAAAAATTTCCTTTATTCTGATATTAAATGCCAGAAAAAAAATTAAAAATAAAAATTAAGTTTCATTTAAAAAATTTAGAAAGGTGAATAAATTTAAATAAAGATCATATTTTACTTAATGTAAATAGTACATGGATTTGGGTAAAAATCGTGAAGACTAAGTATACACTGTACCAGCTGCTAGTAAATGTTGACCTACAGTGTGAATTAGCTTCCTAAGAGATCACTTTGAAAATCTTTCAATTAGTATGACTTGGAAATCTCCCCATATGTTTGTTTTCTACTGTTATCGTGTAAAGAGAATTTTAAAGTTTAATATTATTAACTTTAATCTCCAAAGTTATGTCAGATTGGGACTCCTTTAGAAATTAGAAATGAAAATTGAAAATATTAAGAATCTTCTCAAAAACACAGAGCGGGGGAAAATACCCATTATCTGTAGAATTTCCTTGCAATTTTCTTTTCAATAGCAGTGATTTTCTCATTGGACAGTGAAACATTCAAAGACCAAGGAAAGGGACTTATTAATTAAAGACTGTGCTCTTTTCGTTTCCTTGAGAGATAGTTTCATAAAAATTTAAAATTAAAAATAAATAAGTAAACACATAAAATAAAACCTTGGCTTGGGTCAGGTACCACTCTACCTTTTGCATCAGGTTTTTTATTTTTTCCTTCTTGATCTTCATGAATCATAGGCCATCACATTTGTTCTCAATTACGTGGAAATAACCATATTTCTTCTTAGATAATAAACCATTTAGTAAACAATTTTTTCTTTAATAGCTACAACACTAAAAGGTAGAGCTGTTTTCTGGCATTTTGTGAATGGCACACAGCTGATAAATGTGCAAAAGAAATGGAGCAGTATAGGCTTCCCTAGACTCACATATTCTCACCATTAAGAAGGGCTGTTTGGATGGAAAAATATTCTCAGTGGTAGTGTTTAGGTCAATTAAAAAGGACGATTTCGTTATTAAAATGGCCACCATTGATTGGTATTTGATTCTTGTTGGATGAAAAGGCACCCTCTCAGAGGGGGTTTTATGGAAGAATATAATGTTTTATCTGCCTTTCTTTAATAAGTCATCTGTGTTAGTGATATTAGCTGGCAGGAGGTCTGTTAGTGCTTTAGCCCTGCAGTCTTGGTGGTGTGATGAAGCTTAGATTTCCTCAAAAGCCCAAGCAGGTCCTCCAGAAAGTTTCTCGCCCATTTCATTCACCTTAAAAATTAGAAATTGTCAGGACTCTATATTCATCTTGGTTGATAGCATGTATTTTGCTTAAATATGATGTTACCATCTGATCTTTTAATTAGGAGCAAATGATTGAGGCCCGTTGATCTTGGAAAAATATTTGTAAAGTCTGTCCAATTTATGTAGGGGCCTGGGCAGTTCACTTACACACATATGAAACGCCTACATGTGACTAGTGTTCTGCTGGGTACTGCAGATCTCAAATCCATTGCTTCATATGAGGACTTTGCTAGGTGTTGAGGCATACAAGGAAATAAGGAGCAAACAGTCCAAGATTGCCATGTTTTACATCAAACTAAAAATTAGAAATTAGCTGCTGGCAAGGAGTTTGTGAGTATCCATCTCATAGCAGTGTGGCAGAGAGCAAAGAGAATGCTCCAGGAATCACGTGGCAGTGCTGCTGCCATCCCTGTAAGACGAGGGCCAGCTGCCTCGGGCATCAGGCAAATCTCTTTTTAACAACATAAACACAGTTCCAAAACACACAGATGAAGAAAATGATTGGAGAAGGAAAACTATAATATTAAACCTCCTCATCACAGAACTTCAGCCTCCTGACCTCTAGTGTATAAAACAAACCTAAGTAAGCTAGAAAATAAACAATCCTAAGCCAAAGGCTCAAGTAAAAGGATGTAGAATTCTAAGTCTCTGAGAGACATCCAATCTCTAGTCTTCTGTCGCAAAGAGCCTGACCTCAGTTAGCTTATGTCTAGGTGTGGTACGAAAGTCTAGACTGTAGGAGTGTGTGCTGTTAAGCCTTTTCCTTGGGAATAACAGTTTTTAAAATTAGAATTGAAAGGCCATGTGAGCATTTTGTGAGAAGCCTCGGAAATGTTCTGGAGAAAAATGTTCTATACAAAGTATCATTAAAAACCATTTGGGAGAGGACTTTGGGGCGACTTTGGATTGGCAGGCACTGAACACAGTTCACGCTACACAAATGCTATTTAGGGTCCACTTCATTATTAATAAGGATCGAGGTTATGTCAGTCCGTTTTCCAAATAATTAAACCTTAATGGCTTAAGCAACAGACTTTTGAAAGAAAAAAATGTAGCTGTTTTTAAATGGAACTGTTTAAACTCGGTTTTGTACTTTACTCACTGTTTAAATCCTGAGTCCAGAGTGAAAGTTTACCTTCTCTTGCTGACTTGATGTCACTGTTGTCAATAGCAGTGATTATTTACAGGGTCATGTCATGAGAGCAGCCACTAAATAGTGATGAATTGACTGGCCCCAACTGCTGGGCTCTTGGAATTTTTCTGGTTCTATGGTGTCCTCCCCCATTCACCATAATTGCTGTTGCTATATTGGTTTACCTGTCTCTAGCCTCATTTCCAATTAGCTGAGGGCTGTGAAGCCAAATACCAAATTTGATAGTGCTAGTGCCAAAAATCAATTTATCACTTAAGTCAATAGACCTCAGTGATAAGGTGAAGTCCTGCCAGGCATCTTTTCTCATCAGGGTTTAATTGTCCAAATTAAAAATAACAATAATAAACCACCAAGTTAAAAATACAGTCACCGGCCAAAGCTAGAGAGGAATATAGACTTTTAGAGTTGATCTCAAATATGTGGAAGGAGCTGGAACCTTTCAGGCAAGGCTCCTGAAGAGCAGGTGGCCGTTTCTCTGTGCTATGCCCACACAGGGCACTGCAGTCTCAGACTCACAAAATAGTGCTGATGGATCCCAGTGCAGGTTCTCAGTGTGTGTCCCTTCCCCTCCTCTCTCCTCTCGTAGCGACCTTCTGCAGAGCTGCCACATTGTCCCTGCTGCTTTCTGAACACTGCCATCTTTCCCAGAATAAAATATACTGGCTCCAATCAGTTCCTTTTGCATCTTATTTTAAAAGGAAAAAAAAGTTTATAAATGGGAATGTTTTATGAAGAAGAGGAAAGGAAGGCTCTGAGCTCCTCAGAGAGCAGGGACAAAAAGCATTGTTCAGTTCCTTGGGCTCCTAGCTTTCTTTCTCTTAGACTGTGGGTTCCCATTTCTGTCCACCTGTTGGCTGCCAGACTGGTAACATGTCCTCGATGATATTGCAAAATTTACCCCTGTGATGAGAGCGTATTCGTGAGAGCCATTCAAGAATCCCAAACAAGGAATTCTAGACAAATGGTGGTAATCTCCAATGAGAAAATCAGCACCCCAAAACTGCAGTTTATGAGTCCACATACTGGAAAATCCAATCTAGTGTTTGAATTTTTTTTTCTGAATTGTACATTGCAGTGCAAATAAAAAGTTTTAAAAGAATGACTTCCCCAGAGTGTGAAAAGGAAGAAAGAAACTGAGTCAGAAGAGTCTGTGTGACACTTCCAGTGGTGGGAGTGCCCTGCGGTCATCAGGAGATGACGATTGAGTTTGCTGGCTCTCCAGACCATGCCTTTCTGATTATCCCCATATGCCAAGCTGCCTGCTTCTCAGGGCCTCACTGCATGCCCTTTGAAGGGGCTGCTTCTGGAAGTTGTTTTCTATTCTGTGTGGAGAGTTTGCCCTTGCCTCGTAGGGAAAGCCTGGCAGTCAGAGAAGCCACCAAATCCGAACTCACAGTATGAGTGAGCCCCATGGCTTCAGTCTGCAATAAAGAATGCACTGATTTAAAAAAAAAAAAAAAAAAAAAAACTGAGTCCTTAAAAATCATTGCTATCATCTGATTCTAAAATTTAGTCTTTTATGCTTATTGGTCCAGTAAAAGTTATTAAGGAGTATTATTCTACAGAAAATAGAGCTATTTTTATTAGCCATCCACAAGTTAAATTTACATTACTGTTGTTAGAATCAGTGAAGTAAATGTAGCCCAAATCAATGAATTTTTCTTTCAGTATTGATTCCTCTTTCAGATTGGTCATTCTTTGTGCACTGTTAGGCAGGGGTAGGCAAGTTTTTTCTGCAAAGGGCCAGCTAGTAAATATTTTAGTCTTTGTGGGACATACATACTGTGTCTGCTGTAGCTCCTCAACTCTGCTGTTACAGAATGAAAGCAGCAATACACAGTAGGGAAACAACAGGGTTGTGGCTGTGTTCAAATGAAACTTTACTTTTGAATGACAAAATCTGAATTTCGTAAAACTTTTACACATCACAAAATATTTTTTTTAAAGCATTTTAGAATGTAAAGACCATTCTTTGCTCACAGGCCATACAAAAATAGGTGGTAGACCAGAAGTGGCCCTGATCTAAGGCTTTAGTGGAATAGCCAAATGAAATGCAATAAAGCTCTTTTATTAACAAATACACAGAAATCGCCACTGTCTATTGAGCAAGATTCTAAGCTTTACCTATAATCAAATACTCTGGTTAATTGCTGAAAATGTTGAACAGTTGTGAGAGAGATAACACATGTCATATGCTTTAAGCAAAATAAGACCTCTAAAAATGGAAGCTCCTTGTTTTTTCTACATCTGTTGATTAAGTACCCACTGCATGTTCAGCCCTGGTTAGATGCTGGATATACAAAAGTGAACTTGGCAGTCTCCCATTTCAGCTTTATTTGAGCGATCTTCTATGATTAGTCATCCAATCAGAAGCAAATCGTGTCTGCTGTATGGTAACTCGGGCTCTGAAGTCACGCATGTGGATGTTTGGTATACAAGCTATTCTAAAGCCTCTCAATTCTTGCACAGTAACATTTCTAATTAAAAGTATTTGTTCGGTTTTGGTAGTCCCTGAAGGAAGGGTTAGAATTTTTACCTTCTGAACTTTGGGGTCAAGGTGGTGGTTTTACATACGTGGCTTTTTTCTTTCAGGTGCATGCTCCGAGTCCTCGATTCATTTGGTACCGAACCAGAATTTAATCATGCTAATTATGCCCAGTCTAAAGGCCACAAAACCCCATGGGGAAAATGGAATCTGAACCCTCAGCAGTTTTATACCATGTTCCGTGAGTATTCATGTTTCACCTCTGCTTTCCAGAAGCTGCCAGAGATAGATGGGAAAATTAGATTAGAAAAAAAATCCATTTTGTGTTAACGATTCTCAGGACCCTTATCTGTAGAAGTGTGTGCTATTAAACCTCTTCCTTGGGAATAACTGAATTCTTTTAAAAATTGGAATTGAAAGGCCTTGTGAGCATTTTGTGAAAAGCCTTAGAAATATTCTGGAGAAAAATGTTCAATACAAAGTATTATTAGAAACCATTTGGGAGAGGACTGTGGGTTGACTTTGGATTGGCAGGCACTAAATGCGTTTCATGCCACACACATGCTGTTTAGGGTCCACTTCATCATTAATGAGAAACGAGGTCATGTCAATCCATTTTCCAAATAATTAAACCTTAATGATTTAAGCAACAAACTTAAAAAAAAAAAGCCTTTTTAAAATGGAACTATTTTAACCTCAGCTTCATTCTTATCTTGTGAGAGCAGCCACTAAACAACGATGAACTGACTGGCCCCAACTGCGAGGCTCTTAGAATTGTTCTGTCTCTGTAGTGTCCTTCACCCCCGTTCACCATTTCTTACTGTTGCTATCTGTTACCTGCTTCTAGCCTCATTGCTAAGTAGCTGAGGGCTGTGGGGCCAAATACCAAATTTGATAGTGTTTGTGCCAAAAATCATTTTATTATGTAAGTTAATAGACTTTAGTGATGAGGTGAAGACCTTTTCTGGGAATGAAAGTTCGCAAGAGTTGAGCAGTTCATTTGGGTGCTCAGAGCGGAGAATTCCCATTTTCCAAAATTATCAGAACAATTTTAATCCAGATGTTTGCATACTAGAATTAATTTTTGAGATGTGAATCTGTTTTTCCTTTGAGTCAAGTCCCAAGGGACCCCTGCCCTTCCCTTTCCACCTGTGATTGCACCTCCCCATTGTATGCAATCACCTGAAGGTGACCTTTTGCTCAGATTCCCTAAATGTAATGGAGAACAGGTTCGACTTATCCTTGGGTGTAGAAGAGAAGGAGAGTTAAGAAGAGGTATGGCTGATGAGAGGAGTAATTTTAAAAATCAGCTCATGTTTCAGTGTTCTTTTTGGCTCATAGAGATTTGTGAGAGCATGCTGTGTGCATCGTAAACATTATTATTCCTGGAGCTATATCATCCTGCTATTGCAACCTGTCCCTGGGGCACAGTTCAGGGGACGAACTCATATTTGGCACATTAAGTGACAGATGGCTGTCAGCATGTTGAGGCATGATTAGAGTTAGCCTGCGGTTTGACTTTGCTGTGTAACTTTGAGAGACTCAGGGGAGGTGGCACACAATAACCTAAGAAATGACCCATGTGTTACATCAAGTGAAATAAGATGTCATCTGTGCCCAAAATGGGCAAAACTGCCTGAGTGATATGGTATGTGTGTGCCCTCTAAGAGATGATGTTTCCCTGTATACAGAAAGTAGAGAAGAAGCTTTTCCAGAAAATATAAAGTTATCTTTTAGAATGTTGGAATTCAGAGTCCTACAAACCTATTTTGTTTTCATGGTTGGAGGATTTCAGCAGTATTGTTGGATTGAATTGAAAAAAATTTACTGCTTAAAATCTATCTGAAAACAAAACCATGGATTAATTTCTGTTAACTAGGAGGAGGATAGGTTTCCTGACTCAGAAATCAGCAGGAATCACAGGGAAAATTGATACGTTTGCCTGCCTTTCTTAAAAGAACTTGTGTGGCAAAACAACCAATAACACCAAAACAAATTATATCACAGACAGAGAGTTAGTATCCTTAATATACTCATTTATATAAAGAGCTTGTAGAAATTTAGTTGTTTCAAGATCCAAAAGAAAAATGAGAAAAAGTTACTAACAGTTCAGAAGAAAAAAGAAATTTATTGCTCTAAACGTAAAGTGATGTTAACCTCAGCCACAATAAGAGAAATGCATTTTAATCCTGTACCAAGATGCCATGTCCTACGTACAGACTGGCAATAATCCAAAAGTTTCACGGCATACCTCTTCAGGTGGCGAGGCTAAGGGAAACCCATCTTCTCCTACCCCAGTGGTGAGAAGGCAACACGATGCTACCCCAGGGGAAGGTGTTTGTCATGGTCTAGCAAAACTACCTGTGCATTTTTCTTTGAGCATTCTCAAATCTAGGAATCTATCCCAAAGATAGAGGAGCAAAAATAAGAAATGGCTTGTGCACAAGGACATTTAGTGTAGCATCATGAGTATTTGTAATGGGAAGAGACTGGAAACAACCCAAGTATTCATCATAGGGACTGAATGAATAACATGGTCCATTGATATAGTGAAGTACTTTTGATGAAAAGGGATGAAGAAGGTCTCCACTCAAGGAGAGACATCTCTAGGATATATTAAAAGATAAAAACCAAGGTGCAGGACAGCAGAGAGCTACTATCTTCTGTATTAGAAAAGTATAGAGGAAGAGTGTGTATATGTGTTAATGCATATGAATTAGCTCATATTTGCAAAAGAAACAATAGAAGGATAAATAAACTAATTAAGTGATCACTAATAGAAGATGAGTGTGCAGGGATGGCGATAGAAGGTAAATGTCTCTTAATGTACATTGTTTTGACTTTGGAACTATGTAAGTGTTTTACATAATTTTAAAAGAAAATAAAATATTCAAAAGAATTTGAAGCATGGTCTTGAAGGGATATTGCACACCGTGTTCATTGCAGTATTATTCACAATAGCCAAGAGGTGGAAGCAACCCAAATGTCCGTTGACATATGAATGGTTAAAGAAAATATGTCGTATATGTACAATGGAATATACTCAGCCTTGAAAAGCAAGAAAATCCTATCACATGCTACATGGATGAACCTCAAGGACATTATTCTAAGTGAAATGAATCACAAAAAAAATACTGTATGATTCCACTCATGAAGTATTTAAAACAGTCAAAATCATAGAAATAGAAAACAGAAAGGTGATTACCAAGGGCTGGGGGGGTGGGGGGGATTAGTGTTCAATGGGTATGGAGTTTCAGTGTTGCAAGGTAAACGAAGTTCTGGAGATCTGTTGCACAACAATGTGAATATACTTAAACTACTGAACCATACACTTAAAAATGGTTAAAATGGTAAATTTAATGTTACATGTTTTTTACTACCACAATAAAAAAAATTAAGAAGAAAGAAAGCATTCACTGAAACTTGAAAACACATTGAAAAAAGTGAGACAAGCCTAGGTATGTCTCCAGTTGGTGTTAACCCCTCACAGAGAAAATGATTACTTCAAATGACTTTAAAACAGTCATTTGACTGTACATTTGTACTGGGAAATACTTATATTGTTATTTGAAACTATTATAGATATAGCATAGGAATCAAGATTTTCAGTATGCATGAGAGGGGTGGGTACTTGAAGAATTTAAGTAAAGATCATGTAATCCTCAGCTTGAATAGGAAATAACAATATGAACTCACTTTTTTTTCTTTAAAAAGAAAATGGGCTTGGCCAGTTAGCCCAGTTGGTTAGAGCATAGCCTTGTAACACCAAGGTGAAGGGTTCATATCCCCTTACCAGCCAGCCAACCAAAAATAAATAAAATAAAAATAAAATGTTTTCTAGTTCTGTGCTTTGAAAAGGACCAAAAGTAAAAGACAACCCAGTAGCAATGAGTATTCGTAGCTCTTAGATTGGGATTCCCTAAATACCTTTTTCTGCTAAAAGGAACTCTCTCCTGGAGTAAATAGCTGATTCCAGGTCTGAGGCAAGAAATATTCATTGTGGGACATCTTGTCACGCAAGAAAGCAAGGAAGCTAAGAAAGACCGCTGGGGTAGAATCAGAAGGACACAGGATCCAAAGCATGGGGTAACTTGAGCATCCAAAGAACGTTGACTGTAGTGGATCGAAATCAAACAGATGAAAAATGAATGATTCTAGAGTGATATGCAAGACAAGAAAAACTAGTTTCTCAACTTTGCAAGTTGCTAGACACCCACTCTTTACTCTGAAAAATAAAGGGAAAGAATCCAGCTTCAATCCTGCTTTCTAACACAAATTATATTTGAAGATAATCAAATGGTTCAGAGAAAGTTGCTAATCATGGGGAAATCATGACTAATAAATGCAAAAGAAATGAAGAGTGAGAAAATCAGCATGTTATAACTCCTAATGAGATAATGGGAGCAAGGCAATTAGCATCAGTGGTTGCTGAATCAGTTCGTTTTCTGTTGCTTCTGACAGAATACCTGAAACGGTATTGTATAAGAAAATGAAATGTATTTCTTGGTTTTGGAGCCTGGGAAGTCAAAGGTCCAGGGGGCACATCTGCTGAGGGCCTTCGTCCTGGTGGGGATCACATAGTGAGGGTCAAGCAAGAACGTGTGATAATGTACTCATTTGCTCTCCTGTGATAACCCATTAGTCCACTCATGAGGGCGTGGCTCTCATGATCCAATCACCTCTTAAAGGCCCACCTTTCAAATACCATATTGGGAATTCAGTAAGCTCCACCTGAGCTTTGGAGGGGACAAACATTCAAACCATAGCAGCTGCTCACTCCATCAAGTAAAAGGTTAATGGAAGCCTTTCTGATGCATGAGGCCGTCTTTAATGGAGAAAATATGGAAATGAAGCAGTTTGAGACCTTTATCATTTTGGATGTGTCCGGGCTGGAGAATTTGCAACAGAAAACAGTGTCTTCTGCACCCTACTTCCCAATGAACTTGGGTGTTTCCTCCCCAGAGGGCCTATTTCTTTTTACGTGATGAAGGGGTAAAGTCCAGTTCACAGCATCTTTTCCGATAGAATCCTCTAGCTCCTCGCCCTTTGGGTAAGTTCTAGTAGTTTGAAGGGACAGACTGTTTATCTGAATATGAGACAAAAGCATGGAAAGTTATATTTATTCCTTATTAACTTTTAAATGAAACAAATATACTAGTGCTTAGTGTATGGGCTGATAGTAAACATTATATAATTGATGTATAAATATGCATATATATTGAGGGTGTACTCAGACACTTG